GACTGTCTCTTCAGACTTGGTCTCTTAGGATCATCCACAGGTACCTATACTGTAGATAGGTCTTAGTCATCAGGTCTACTCCACTTCCTTGTTGCCTGCTTAGACTCTTGGCACTCTTAGGTGAGCAGACGTAGTCAGCCTGTGTTGCCCTAACACCATGGCAATTTGTTCTCCAAATGCACTGTGGACATGGAAATCTTCCACCAGCTGTGCGACATGGTGGTAGCCAGGATGAGTGGGATTGGCTGACCCAATCCTCTTTAGCACTTCGACCTCCTTATACAATTCCCCATATGTGACCCCTTCTTCTGCTCTCAGTACCTTCACCACATAAAACCAGTTTGCCAAGGCATTGGGCCTGCTTAGTAGATCAGCAAGGTGTCACCACAATCTAATTGGAGCACCCACCCCAGGTTTTCTACTAGGTAGACAATACTGAAGAGACCCCAGCCCAGCTTGTGCAGCACAATGTACAGACCATTTTGCAGCTCCATCCCAAAAGGAATAGGGCAATAGTCATATTGGTGGTTAGCTTGGTGCACTGCACCTAGCTCTTCTGCACTGATTTGGAGTTCTGAATCCCCTTTGACAGTATTATCTTGAGTATCTTGAATACCATGATTGACACAGTCTTGAGCATCTCCAGGAGCTAGGAGAGGAAACATGATAGGGAGAGATGCTTGTCCAGTTGTTTGAGAGTGGCTATTGGAGAAAGCAAGGTGGTCGTATGAGAAAGGATTACAAGCACAACATGAACCAGATCTCCAGTGTGTCACAAAGCAGGCTGTCCTTCAGTACTAGGACTATTGAGTGCATGAGGCTGATGCCAACTGCAGCACACCAGCCACACCCCCATGGAGGTATTCTTGGTCCAGATGGCTGGGTTACACAACATTGGCTCTGCGTTTCCAACTGTGTACAATAGTAAAAATTGACAGGAACAGACAGTATTTGATCATCCATATTCCTGTCTCTGTTCCTTTTCTGCTTGCACCATGCCAGCTGGCCTATATGACTGGTTTTGTAGAATGCTTGGGTACACTGATGTGTGCTGGGAGATGCCAGATATGTTTTGAACTGGACAGTCTGAGTTGTCTTGATATGGCAAATTTGTCGAGTATTGACTTGGTTTTGGTACACATTCTGCTTCTATCTGTCCAGGCCTTTGCAGAGGTCCCATGACTCAACATGAGGTCTGTGTGAGGCAATGGGAGCAAGGATGTGTAACCCCCTTTAAAGCCTGCTCTGAACTCTCCCCTTCACTCTGTATGCTCAACCCACCTTGCTGCTGCGCCTGATCCACATTGCTCCCAAACTTTTGTTCCCCTTCCGGAACAAAACAACACAATATGACAAGGCGCTGCAACCAAAGCAAGCAGCACAAGAATGTGAATTGAAACTGGGCTGGGTGGGTCGAAGAACTCCATAATAATTTGGAGAGTGTCCAAGCAAACTTTCCCATGGATTTTCATGACATGCGCCACAAGAAAGCCCCTTCTTTGATGGGCCGCCCCCAAGCTTGGACCATAATTGAGATTGCCAGTGTCAATGCCAATGTTGGTGCTATTACCATTTGTCATCTGACCAAAGTTCATGTGTCCATCTGTCTTTGTATATGCATGGTCTCTCTATTGACTTGACCTAGCTCTGCACCTCACCTGTTGGCCCACGCCATAGCAAACATTTACTTGGAATTGGAGCATAATCAGGGATGTTGGTGGGCAAAGAATATAGCTTCTGTTGCCTTCAGGTGAGCAGAGCGTTTCTGGCTTTGGTCCCCACACATCACAGAGCTAAGCTCAATTAGATCTGATGGGCATCCTGGCCACATTGGCAAGGCCAAACATTACACTGTGGAACTTACTGATACCCAAGGCCAACATATCACAACAAGGCACTATTCCTTCAACCCCCAACTGAACCATCTGCTTAATTCCGACAGTGAGCCAGAGGAAGAGGAAGAGGAAGATGAAGACAAAGACAAAAACAAAGACAAAGACAAAGATGCAGAAGAAGAGGACAAGAATGAGGATGAGAGAAGATGAAGAGGAACACCAGAACAATGGTCCTTCTGGTGGAGGGGGACAAGGCAGGGCAAGTGCCATTGCTCATAAAGTCAGTGGTGGGACCCATGATCTCTCCAGTGCTACCATGTGAATAAAATGGCTCTCTATAACTAACTAGCGTAGGTCTCATGTTTTCAACTGATAAATCTTAAGTCAGAAATGCAAGTGGTCTTTACATCATGCAATGCTTCCTCCCCCCAGAACTGACTTGATATCAAACACTAGCTGCAGGGTGACTGAAAAATTCCAGTTTCCGTGATTCAACAGTACATATTTGATAAGACAGAAGTGGTACCTTGCTCAGCACATGGGAATGCCAAACATTGGTGGAATTTAGCCTTTTATTTTATTTTATTTTAGTTTAGACAGATCATCACACATAGTCAGACTGACACTATTGGTTACAATAGCTTCATGTCCATTATTCAGAGCCGTCTCATGTATATGATGCCCCCTCATGTGTTTAAACTGTAGTAATCATGTATGACATGTGGAAGCGAGCTGAGTGGCAGAAGTAAAACAATTTACAGAATTGTTTTGCTTCTGTAAGAAGCTCTCCACCTCTTCTCATATACTTACACATTCCTGGACTCCACATGTCCAAAACCAATCACCCCACTATTCTACTACCTCTGAATTTTGACCTGTACCACGGATTTATCTCAAGTTTAACCACTTGCTTTCTGGGCATATATGACAAGCACCATGACATTGCTGATCTCAGGGAATGGGAGCTGGCTCTTGGAGATCTTCCTGCATTACTCTGTCAGTGCACAACCAGGTTTATCAACGCCAGTACACAAATGCCAGAGAGACAAAACACCACTGTGCAGTTGATATGCAAGCATCAAGCGCAAGGTGTTCCTTTCAAGAACGGAATCTGATACCATCAATTTGCGTATGCTCTAAGAGATCAGTTGTTGAGTGGGGCAAGAGGCATTGAATTGGAAGACATCCTTATTTGAGGCAACCAGCTCCAGTTACCTTGACACCTAAACATCCCTTTGAACTTCTTCGTTCATGAGCAGAGGAACAATGGGAATGTCACATGAGGCCACAAATATATTCTTGCATTAAACAACTTCGCCAATTCAGTCAACTGCTTCCTTTTGTCATGGGGACAGCTCGTCTCAGCCTGCTTGGATGCACCTGCACCAAAATTATCCAGTGGCAAACTCCTGTCTGCCTGGGCTGATTGACTTGACCAGTACTCTCAGGGAGTTATTGCTTTCAGCAATCTCTTCACTGCCACAGCAGGCTTGCTAGCCATGCAGATACATACAAATGCATCATGTCCGGGAACATACTGACACTGTTGCAGGAGATGGAATGGGACCAGGCTACCAGCTTACCAATTCTCCCCTACTATCTTGCAAAATATGGTTCACCAGCAAATGCTCTGTGGCCCCTACTCTTAGCGACATTCTGTAGTCCAATCTATTTGCTTGTCAACAAGTCCACCTGGCAAGATACATTGTCATTACACTTACTTGTAAATGTTTGTTATCCTTGGTTGTTCCACATAATTGCTTGCTGACAGCATGATAGTGATCTCAAGAGTTTGGCTCAAGCATGCGGTTCTCCTTGCAAGATCCTGACACTTGGGCTGCACACACAGTTGATCAATTCCTGTGGAGGATTATCCTCTCCATCCCCTTCAACACATGGTCAATCGATGTTGTGCTTCTACAAGAGTGGTTCAACTTATGGGTTTCTACTTGGCAACACATCCAGACAGCACTTTGGCCAGTAAACAATACCACAACCCCAGCCAGCCAGCCCAGCACTGCCAACCCCTCCGTTGTCATTTCTGCTAGTCCAACAATAGTCTCAGCCCTTGAATACAGAGATGGCTTCAAATGGAGCGATTCCAAGCAAGAGGAGGACAGCATGTCTGATCTGCGGGCCTTAGGAGTCAGTCCTGCTGCAGCTGAGGTGGCACACAACGTGGCAGCCCTCAAGGCAGCAGAGGAGGCGGCAGTGCTTAAAGCAGTAGAGGAGGTGGCTGGGATCAGGGCAGCAGAGGAGGCAGCTGCAATCAGGGCAGCAGAGGAAGCAGCAGCCCTCAAGGCAGTAGAGCAGGCAGCAGTGCTCAAGGCAGAAAAAGAAGGTGCCAAGCTGAAGGCAGCAGAAGAGGCAGCAGTGCTCAAGGCAGCAAAGGAAGCCGCTGAATCGAAGGCAGTAGAAGAGGCAGCAGCACTCAAGGCGGCAAAGGAAGCTGCCAAGATCAAGGCAGCAGAGGAAGCTGCTGAGCTGAAGGCAGCAGAAGAGGCTGCAGCACTCAAGGCAGCAAAGGAAGCCGCCAAACTGAAGGCAGCACAAGAGGCTGCAGCACTCAAGGCGGCAAAGGAAGCCACCAAAGATGAAGGCAGCAGAGGAAGCTGCTGTGCTCAAGGCAGCTGAGGTGGTAGCACCTCACTTAAATTCCAATCAGTCAACATCTTCCTTAACAGATCCGGGGTTCAAAAGCATCACACTACCCACCATCCTTCAGGATTTCAATCAGATTCCTGCCAGCAAACTCAAACGGCCCATCAATTTGTCTCTACCCCTTGCGGCTTTGGCAGGTCTGGAGCAAACCCCTGTAATCTCACCTACGCAAGGCTGTGCTGACCCTGAAGGTAGTCCTGATAAGACCATTGTCACTTTTTTGTCATCCATCATTAACACCACACTTTCTCAACCATCCACACGCAAATCTGATGCCATGAAACAAAGCCCACATGTCTGCTTCCAAGACAGTGCATCTATACTCAGCCACAAGCCCCAAAGCAAGTCAGGCGGCTCCTGGAGAATTGGAAGGCTCTGAAAGACAAACAACAAAGCATAATTGGGAGGACTTGGACCCTGGTTATGATGCTGATGTGGAGCATTGAGATAAGCAGAATAGGCCAAGTGGAGACATGCATGAAGAAGTCCAGGAAAAACACAAGACATGGTGGCTCAGCAAAGATGACTGTGATGAATTGAGTGTTGTTGCCCCCAATCAGCTGAATCCAAAGATGTTACCTGTGATCCAGAGGAATATGGGACTGCTTTATCCAACAGTCAGTATTTTTGCCACATATGTTACTGGCTTATCTTAACACACCTGCAGGTGGATGAATTGCAACCTGCTGACCTCCAGCACTTCCAAGAAACACTGCTGAAGAACTTTATGGAAGGATTGAAGACCTTGCAACAACTACAGGGGTCAAATGAAAGTCTCTCCTTGAACCTGTCAAGGGGGTCTCAGTTGTGGTCAAGTACTATTAAACACTCAAATTTGGAGGGGTCAAACTGTCCATCCCCTTTCCAAAGCAACCTGGAGCAGGTAACATGTGTTTGCTGTCTGTTCTCCAAACTGTTGATGTGCCTGATAAATTGATGTAGCAGTGATACTTGGACAAGCTAAAGCGCAGGGCTAAGCACTCGGTCCTCCTGCCTGAACCCACCTTCACCAATGGGATGTTTGTATGCCCTGGTATTTGCATCCTGTATGTAACTCCAGCTCAATGGCTTAAAATGAGCCATGGCAAGGCCATTCAACTATTTCAAGATTATCAGACCATCATTGTGAAGGGCACCAAAAAAGCACAAGGGATCTTCACCTTGCATGCACATGCAAGAGATCAGGACCTCCGCAGTCCTCATCCTGTCCAGGGTAAAAATGTAATTGGATCAGTTGCTCACCTGCTGATGTCTGTATGACAGTTCAGTCTGACCTGCCAGACACTGAGAGAGATAAGATTAACAGCACAGAGAGCTGCATGACTTGGCAGGTTTCTCTCAGTTGATGGTTTGAAATTATGGGATCAGCACTCACCTTCTTTCCAATTCTCATGTTGCTGTGCCAAGAAAGATCAGCCATCGCAGGTGCACCTGCTGTCTATGGAATGGGGTAAGCTCCTTTAACTCTTGTCATGTTGACAGGATCCACTGACCCAGTAGCAGAAAAATAGCATCATCTGTATCAGTGGCAGATGCCATATGACTAAATTACACCTCTGCCCTGTTGCTGACAGGCACATTCCACTGGGAGATGATGCAAACCAGTGGTGCTGTCCAGTCTGTCAGTGTGGGTAGCATGGGACCAGATATGGCCATTCAAGTCATTGCTGGATGCATTCTCTATATGCAGTATGATGTCAATGAGAAAGAACTCTTGGAGGACAATATTGTGTGTCACACCCTCCTCTCTAGGCCTTGCATGGTCTTTGCCCTGGAAGCCGGAGATGTCATGTAAAGTGTCCCTCTTTAGGCACATGTGCCAGGAGGCTGATGACAGCTTTCAGGTTCCAGGCAGCAAATGTTGCATTTGACCCCCATTTGCAGGCAATCCATCGTATGTGACACTCCTTGATGATAGCAGTTTTAAGGCATTGTACCTGTTGGTGCAGAAATGGGCTTGATGGCTTGTATTGATGATTTGCTTGTCAGAGACTGAGTTTCACAGTTGGTGTGCTGACAATCTTCAGCAGTCGTGGAGACAACAAGCAAGGCTTGGGCTGATGCAATTGATGTGAGCAGATCATGCAAACATGGAAGTAAGCTAATTGGCAATGCTCCTCTCACTGCAAAGAGCAGAAGGATCTGCTTCCTGGGACAGATGATTGCTGTCTTACACATAGTTCTGTTTCCATCATTGTTGTACTTGTGAGAATGCCTCATTAGATTGATTACATGCCAATGAGTCATCTGTTAAATCCAGAATCTTGTTATATGAATCTGTCACGAAACGTTGGTCTTCACATGCTGACCAATGTGTTCAAATAGAAAGACATCAATACTGCAAATGCCTTGATAAATTTACTGGTAACCTCAGGCAGCAGTGAGGGGAGGGCAACTGCAGTCAACGGAACAGAAAGGCAGAACACATGGAGACTATGCAGCAACATGAAATAGATAAGAGCCTCATCCAGAAGATATCCAATATGATTGCCCCTTGATTGAACAATTGCCCAGTCTGTTGAAGATTCCCTAGCATAACAGCATAAAATTCACTCCCTTTGTTCCCTTATTCACCAAGCTCACCTCATGATGTCCCTGACAGAAACTGATTTGTGACAGACACCCTGTAGTTCAAACTGGCATTTGGCCAAGTCAATTCAGCCAAGATTACTGGATACCATCGGCCTCCCTCTGCAAAGCCTGGTATTGCTTGCCAATGCTCGGGGTCGTTTGTAACCTGAAAAGACAAATTCAATCTGTGGTGCTAAAGGAAATGTGTTCCTTATCCCAAGCATTGGTCTCTTCTGCTGGGGGATCAAGATGGTGTATTTGAGAAGGACTGAATTTCTGCAATCACCTGGGGATGCCTCGACCCACAATGGACAAGTTGCATTTGGTTTACATGTTCATTTGATCTTCCCCACACAGCCCATCAATAAAAAGTTTCTTCAACAGATATGGCAGCAGAAGGGCTTCAGTTTGCTCTGAAGGCCCTCCCATCAGAGTCTACAGCTATCTACCACTAACAACAGTGCTCTATTGAATTCTATTCCTCTCTACTGAGGTCTATATGTCTCTACTTCTGTTGAACTGAGCCCAGCAATAGAGTTCTCAAGAATTCAACCCTGCAACTGAAGGTGTCTGTTTATTACTGCTGTTTGCAATGACTACTTGTGTCAGTTGCCAAAGAGCCATCAATGCTTTTTTCCAACTGGGAGGAGACTCATATTGCAGAAACAAGGGGTTCTGTGGTTCAACATATTTACAAGGCAGGACATTGGAAGAGAATCAGCACAAGAACTGTATCTTGGCAGAGTCAGACAGAGTAGACTGTTATCAAGGTGCTTGGGGAGTTTGCATTACAGAGGCAGAAACATGGTGAGTTCAAGAGACAATTCGAACCCTATAACTTAGCTTACCAAGATAAGCAGCAATAACTTGTATGAAGCCTTATCTGACACTTTTAGACCACCTGCATGTATTGAGCACTTTGGCTCATCTGCTGGGCAACCCTTGCACCACATTGTCCCCCCTTGACCTGCCACACAAGCAACATCCTCCAAATGCCAGTCTCCCCACCATCCCTTTTGGTCCAGGATAGATTGGCTTGTAGGTGCCTGGATCAAGTCAGAGGCTCTCAGTCAGGCAGCAGCCAATTGTCTTTTGGATTTGGAGGTGAGTCCATCTGAATACCAGGGGCAAATTCAAAGCCAAATTTGCCCACTGCAGCTAGTCAGTGCTTTGGGCTTGTCTTTCAAGAATTGCTATGAACTGAACCACATTGTCAACACTCAGCTTCCTGTTGATAACTTGGACTGGCATTGAACTGAGCTTTGCCTCATGGGTGCTTTGAAGACCAGCATGCTTTGGCATAGAGACATACTGCAGGCAATCAAGTTGCTTGTTGGGGACATTTGCTTTGCGCCTCTTCTTCATTTTTCCCCAGAGTGTCACTATGCCAATAAAGAGAAAGAGTATTGGCTGCTGACTGAGATGTGGACTGGGAATTGGTGGTGGAGGACTCAGGTGGGCAGAAACACTTTCCTTAACACAAAGTTTTGTGCTCACCATATGGGCAACAGACTCAGCTTCCATCTGGTGTGACTATCATACCTATTATCTTATCAAGCAACAAGACTCTCCTCACTCAACATAGTGGGGATTGGTATGGATATCCCTTGTATATCTCCATTGAAAACCTCCCAAAAGCAGTCCGAAAGTGCCCCTCTCAGCAGGGCACCATTCTACTTGCCTATCTTCCCACAGACAAGTTTGAGGGAATGGGTCTCAGCAAAGAGGCAGCCAAGCTTGCCCATCATGGCCTCTATCACCAAAGCCTATCTCACATTCTCAAAGACATCGTTCTTCCTGGGAGAGAGGGCATTACCATGACTACTGCTGATGGTGTGGTTAGACTCTGCTTCCCAATCCTTGGGGCTTGCATGTGCAATTATCCTCCAGAACAATGTCTCCTAACCTGCACTCAATATCTTTGATGTCCTATTGGCAACATCAGTTACAAGCACATAGGCATAGAGCTCACTGGAAGAGAAGATCTGCTGAATGACAAAGATTATGCTCACCCTTGTATCACTCAAGATCAAGAAGTTACCACTGCTCTATTATGTGACCTTCTCCAAGAGCACTGGAAGACTGGCTCCTCTAACACTACCCTGAGCCAAAATCTGAACCCATCATGAACCATGCAGCTAAAGCATAATTTGGCTACCCATACAAAGAAGGGAGCACTGTGTTCAGCTACAATGGTTGCAAGAGCCTTATCCCTTACCCCAATTGAGCATCCATTTTTTTTTTGCCAATCTCCCCAATTGAGCATCCATTTTTTGCCAATCTCCCCCATTGCCAAATACATTTAGCAATGTACTCAGATGTGTTGCACCAGCTACTACAGGGTATGCTCAGAATGCTGTTGTGTTGGTTGATGGATATTGTTGGGAAGAAGACTTTGGACAATGGCTTTCAAGTTCTTCTGCCCACAGACAGTGCCAGACATTTTAGAGCTGGTGTTTGCAGCATGATCCAAGTAACTGGAAAAGGACATTCCTCAGATTTTACCTGGTGCTATGTCTGGTCTGACCCATTTAGGGGACTTAGACAAGGATGGTGCATTGATAACTTGCACAAGTTGAGCTCTTCTTGACTTTTATTATCTTGCATGCCTTGAAGCACATTCTGACCAGACAATTGTGTTCCTGAGACAGAATCTTCTTATGTTTCATGCCAATAAAGAGGCATTCATTTGCTTGGGCACACGGAAGAGCAAGGACACCAATGGTGGTGAGGAAGGTCAGTTGTAATTGACTACCTTAACAGCCATCCTGTCTAACCTTCAATAGCAGAGAGCATGTTCCAAATCCCCAAGCTCCATTCTTTTGTTCACTATATGTCAGCCATTATGGAAGCAGATTTGCTGGATAACTGGGACACCCAAATGATGGAGGGCCTTCATAAGACACTGGCAAAGATCCCATTTTGTGAAAGCAGTGGACGTGAGAGCACATGCATTCAGGAGATGGCTGCTTGGATTGCAAGGCATGAGAAACTGGCTGGATTTCAAGTGGTTCTAGAATGGAGATTGGGTAATTTGATATCACTTTGCTATCTAAATATGGTGAGGCTGATCAACTCTCAAACAGGTACTCTTAAACCTGCTTGGGCTTTCTCAGATATGTTGAATGGCCCCTGTGGTCCCCAAGCTGCCCTAGACTTGGACTGTACCAAGGGAACCCCTATTCTAGCTTCTAGGCCCACATTCCCTGTGTTGAAGATACCTGAGATCCTTGATCCTCTTGGATGGGCTTGTTTCAACTTCGTGTCATCCCTACAGACATTTGCTGCTACACATGAACCTTATACAGGTGTGAGCTTACCAGAGCAAAGTTCTCAACCCCTCTGCATTTCCCATGTACAAGCGTGGAGCAAATGTACTTTCCTGCACCATTCCCAGACAAGCAAGACATCTGGAGAGGAGGATGGGACCTCACAGATGCAAAGCTTGGTTGCCCATGCTTGTCAAGCCCAATGGAAGGGAGAAGGTCAATTGTTATATGACCACCCAGCTTGATATGATACTGTACTTGTGGCAGAGCAGCAGGGCTGTGGAAGATACATTGGCAGTATGTCTCTTATGGTATATCCAAGCACGTTTCTCTGGGAGTACTCAAGGGTTGATGATTTAGAGCTTCATGTGGCATGCTTCAAACCGATATTCCGATTGACTGCAGAAGACACACACACTGTCTTCTGACATGCACATGCTTGCATATGTGGAATGGTTTAGTTGGCCATGTGAGCGGAGCACACATCCATCAGGCCTACCAGTTGTCTGTTGGCTCTGACAGGGGAATGGGAGGCCACTCGCAGGCATTATCCCTCTAAAAGCTATCTTACAAAACTGTATGCTTCAGCCTATCCAAAATCAAACTGTGGATTTTTGGACTTCAGACAATGTTTTGGATTCCTGTGAAACATTCTTTCTTAACAGATACTTGGATTGAGATATCTTTGCCTTGCTAGCACAATACAAGTAATGAGGACATAGTGACTTCTATATAGGGTGTTTTGGGCACTGAATCACCAGATCAGGCAAAAGGGATTTGTGATACCATAGTATTTGACAGGTCTGTGAGGTACTGCACAGTGCAGAGCCATCCTTGCCTGGCATCTTTGTTACAAATCACATAGTAAAAGCTGCCAGTTCAACCCCACAGTCAAATGACACAAGAAAGATACTTGATTACCTTATAATTGGGTTATAACTGGGCATGTCCAAATAGGTATTGGATGTGATCGAACCTGCATCTATTGATGGAAGTGAATAAACCAGCCAAGTAACTGTGACATCATTGATAATAGGATGGAGAACAGCCACAACCATGTCGCCTCAGCAACCTGAGTTCATGCCACTGCTGCAGGTCTCTCACTCAAAAATCAATTGAGTTCTACTAATGGCTTATCTGGACAACAAGAGCTCACAACTTTGTCACTTGCAACAAGAAGTGTGAACTACCTGACTGCCATAGCCCTGCAGCATGTTATGAACTGGATGGCGCAGGGTGATGAGAGAGGGGACATTGTGTCCTTGGGACAGACAAATGGCTATTTCCTTAATCAGAAGTTGGCTATCCACTGGCATACACTTGATAATGCTAGTTTCATGCAACTAGTATGCATTATAGAGTCACCTTCTGAGATGCACATACTCCACTACATATGCTCCATTATCTAGTGTACTTGCGCAGGGGCTGTCAGCTGACAAATTGTATCAGTGGTCAAATGGGGGGATGAAGCATGCTGCACAAATGGATAGCCTGAATCTGCCTCTTTCCAGCATCTCCCCAACTCTCCAAGGAGTTTCCAAACTGCCTCATGCTATACAAACATCCATTTTCAGTTCCCTCCACATGATTGAGGCAGGCCTCGAGCTCCCCAAAGAACTTGCCTTGGTTTTGTGGTGGTTTACCAGGAGTCTACATCATATTTCAATTGTGGTTTGAAATGCAGAGCATAATGCCTGTTGATGGAGTGTAGCTGTGTCTCAAATGGTGAAGATGCTTCATGCACAGACCACCGCCCTCCAAACCATGTGCGTGTATGGGCTCCCGGCCATCACAGAGGTATGGCCAGACAAAATGCTGCTCACAATGCACGTCAAGAAATTTTCCCTGGTCTGCCTAGGAATGGACATTTCCTGCCTCACAGACAATATCCTCAATCAGCTTTGGTGCATGTCAATTGTGCAATGCTTGCATATTATCCAACAACATGGTGTACACATCATCTGCTGATGTTCAAAAGGCCATACAAACTGTATGAACCTTGGGTACTATCAGCCCTTGACTATGGACTTAGCTGCTGAGCTTCCTGTTTTGCTCACACTCATTTGGGGTATCACAGTGGTGCCTGATAGATTACACATCAAGTGTTTTGTTGATCCACTCTCATGCTACTTGATGCAGCAAGTGATAAGGGATGTCAGCCACTCTTTTCTGCTTTAAGCATCAAAATCAAGTTATGTGTTTCATATGATCAACTGTCAGTGCCTATTTGCTGGGAAGATTTTGAGCCAATATTGGCTTGCCTCCACAATCTTGAGTCTATTCATCTCAAACTTGACACTGGACATGCCTTGTTGATCTCAGACCTCAACCTGGATCTTTTTCTGTACAATTTGCCTAGACTGAAATCCATGACTTGCCTGTGGCCCCATTGAGAAGAGAAGATTATGGAAGAATCAACCCAGTTCCTGTCCATCACCTGGGCAGTTAAAGAGCTGAGCATTGCAATACTAGGGAGAAATGGCTCATCAACACAGAGAGACAAAGTAGTGCTTTTTGAGGAGGTATGCACATCCATTCCCTAATATTGACAATGGACAATTCAAGTCAGCAAAGGTAAGGTACACATATACTGGCAGCTAGAACACCATAGAAGGTGACATTATTGATGGTGGTAGTATCTTCTTGAGTTGAATTGTGATGCCAATGGATGCTGATGTGCTCATCCCCCAAGCACACTGACAGCAGTGAAAACAATTCAGCATTGTTTGCCACAAATGGACATTTGATCTCCAATTGAAAATCAAAGAAAACAATTGAAAGAGTGTTTAGGATGGGTGCCAGGTCACAGAGCTTTAGGCAAAGATTGTCTCAATTCTGGGGCGCATGCAAATGAAGTCTCATCTTGTGAATGCAGCAAAGGCACCTGGTGCCTGAGGTGAGAAGTGGGGAAAGGTTCATCCTGTTGGATGAGATCTGAATGTTGAGGGTGACATCAAGGCAGAGCCCACCGATGAGTTTGAGCCATGCTATTATATGGAGTGGCTCTCCAGAGAGTTGTATAGACTGAATGGGGGCATGCAGGTGTGGTAAAGAAAGCCTCAATTTGGGGATGTCAAGCTATCCGGAATTGGCAAGCTCTGTAAGCTGCAAATGGTGTATAGTTGGAAGGCCCACAATGTGTCTAGCAGAGGAGACCAACAGAAGCGAGCCAGCCAAAGACAACGTCTTGATGTGCTTCAAGGACATTACCAGAGGATCGAACAGTTTCATGGCTCCTGGAGAGCCATGCACATTCCCAAATGGGCCACACACTTCAAGTAGGCACAAGTTGGACGTTGCTTGCAGGAGAGCCAACTCAAAAGAAAGCCAGACAAATGGGGCTGCCACCCAGCTGAGTAGGAGCCAAAGTGCATGGATAGCTTATGCAGATTGGGAAGGATTGAACTGTGAAACAAGTGTCCAGCAATAGTGAGGTGCATGGGTTGTGAGCATGTCATGTGTAGTTCTAGCATGTTGGGGAAGAGGGGAGCATCTGAAAGCACCCAGTTGATAACTTTGAGAGTAACTTGATAGGAGCTGGCAATACCCTGTAAGTGAATGTCAGTGACCAAAGTTTGGGCTAGACCACTGTAGAACAACACAACATCCTGGGCCTGAAAAGTGTGAGCAATGTTCTGGAATATCAGTTAAGGCTTATAGAAAGAACTCACTGTTTGATTGTGGCAAAACAGATGGGAGAAGGGGAAAGAAAGCATGGTTTCATATAGTTGAAGCAATTCCGCAATAGCTCGGATTTGCACAACATGAGAGCTCAAGAAATTTCTCCAGATGTAGGAGAGTCTGATATGAGTCATACAGCAACAGGTGAGGGTGATGCATAGGTAGTTATCAGCACAACAAGGAAGTTCATCAAGTGTCATAAGGATGAGCTCCCCCACATACCAGACACAATGCATGGCTGGTGGAGGAGACAGAGATGCATTGAGGTGTGCAGACAGGCAGAGGAGGGGAAATGAAGTCATGTGTCTAAGGCACATGTGATATATACAACTAGCTCACAACACCTCGAGATGTTTCAAGCTGGGTCCATAACCACTTGGCTTGATACCAGAATGAACTACCAATATCCCTGATAAACCTCTCAGAGAATACTTAAATGGCCAGTAATGTTGTTGCATTGTTTCTGTTGTGCATGGGATGCCACTGTCAGTCTGACAGTCACAAACTAGGGATTGTGATGGGGTCAATTGACAATGTGTTCACAAGGGCTATGATCAGGAAAAGGTAATAGATTACGGAAGGGCTCAAATATCAACAAAATATGCATGACAGAGCTGAATCACTTCTGTAGCCTGCATTTGCCCCATGGCAGCAACACACCGGATGGATCATATCAGGCAGGCATACAAATAACTTGGTTGGAAATGGCAGACCTCACAACATGCTGTGGGGGTTCCTCAGGTCGAGAAGAGAGCAAATTGTGGACAGCAGTGTCTTCTGAAAGCACAAGATTATGTCCCTTGTCAATGCACTTGCTGTCATGTTTGGGATCCCTGTGGTCGATTTCAGGTGCATCTGGCAAAGAAGACATGATGTGGTCTTGTGTTAGGACATGAGATTTGGGTGTTTGATTAGCATCTCCAGCAAGAGGCACACCAATTGTTATGTTCTGGGCTGTAGACATTTCCCATTTGCATTGGGCAAGAGATAGGGCAGTGTCTTGGGCTTCCAGCATCTGAAAAGCACCTGAAGAACAGGAAGAATTCACCAGGTCAACCAGAGCTTTATATGTTTGGGTGCTGACTTGGATAGGGGGCATCACTGAAGGTGGGTCCATGATGCACTGGACATCATTCTCTTCCATTTTGTGTGGTTAGACCCCTGCAAATTGGCACAAAGAATTGAGGATAGCTGTGGTATGTCAATTGTTGGGACAGTATGTGGTTTTTGTATTTGCTGTCACGGCTTTGTGGGCTTAGCAGGGGAGGAGGTTTGTGTCATTGGATCTTGGAAGAGCATTACCAGACAGTCAAAGGTGGTCTTTGTCCCAAAGGTCCCAAAGTTTAGCTTTCTGGGATAAGATGAATGGCTGGCCATGCAATCAGGGCTAGTAGGACTCCTTGGTGTGGTGAGCAGCAGCGCAGTGATGGTATGCAACTTGTCTGAGGCCTTGCTTTCCATTGGGGGATCTTGACCTTCTATGTGCAATGCTGACAGAGTTTGTGCAAGATTGTGCCAAGGTCTGCATGATATGGGGTTGGACTGAGAAGAAAATGGATTGATGATGCTTGCCGCATGTTGGCCGACTGGGAGTGTACTTGATGGCAGTGGCAGGGTAGAGTGGCAGATCAAATTGGAGCTTTCAGTGAGAATATTGTCTGCTAGATGGATAGGTGTACAAATGCCCAAATGTTGGTCAAAAGTTGGATGGGAAAGTCCACAAGATGAGTCGAGTTGAAAGTTTGCCACACTATTAAAGGCTTCCCCAATTCCCTCATTAAATTGCATATCACTCTCATGAACTGTTGATTGCTGGCTGGGCCAGCCTACATCTTTCAAAATACCCCAAGAACTCTGCTGGTCTTTCACAAGAGGTCCAGAGGATCTGCTCATCTCAGTTTCAGCCATCTGAAGCCTATCAATAAGCTGTTCCACATAATCATGGGGTTGTTGCTTTGGCTGAGAGATGTCTCCACAGAAAGCACTACAAGCTCTGGTCAATTTCCAATGTTGATAGGCCAGGAGGTGTACTTACAGGCCCTTGTTGATCAGGTGAGACATTATTTGCTTGTACTTCAATGGGAAGGTGGACTTGAACTTCTCCACCTCCAGGAGGTGATCATAGTAGATGTCACTCCAGCCATTTGCAGAAAACTTGTAGGAGGAGCTGGGAGCCTTCTCTCCAGTTTCCCACTGCATCAAGCTGCAGTCGAGCTATGTACATGTCAGTCATTATGCAACTATTTCCTGCATGAACACACATACAGCCCTAATGGGCAGAGCAAGGATGGCTGGGTGTCCTGAGGCAAATGCTTCTTTGAACATTGGACCAGTGCTTTGTTTATCCTTATAATACACATGGATAAAAATGTCTGTGATAGCAGGATGTTTGTATAGCTGCCTTGGCTCGACAACCTATTGAATGTATGTTAGCCTAGTCAATTCACGTCAAAAGCAGGAATGCACAGAAGGGTCACAATCTGCAAAGAGAAACTGGGTTTTGTGCTGAAGGCGTGCAACCTCAGCAGCCCTAGCATCAGATGTTCTGAATTGGAAGAGGTACCAATCCTTGACTATAATATTGGGGATTGTCTTTACTTCACCCCTAAGCTGGGCTTGGCGCTGTTCAATCTGCAATCCTGGTCAGTGTGATCAGATTCATGAGGTGAACAACAATGTTTACTATAGGTCTGATATACTCCACATGAGAGGAGCCCTGCACCGAGCACCTCACATGGTCTTGTGCAGAAAGGCCAAAAGCCTTGCATGAGGCTTCAACACATTCTTCTACCCAATGGATACTCTTGGGAGGAGAAGGGAAGGCATTCTCAGTGGCAATCCTGGGCTGATAGCATTGATTTGCTCCATGCACAGTAGATCTTTCGGTGGGCGATAGGTCACACATCACAGCATGGCTGCCTGACTTGCAGGGAGGGGCTTCTGCCAATTCTTCAGAGGACGTATTGTCGGAATTGAGTTCACTGCTGTGATTCATATCATCTTCAGGCTCTTGGAGGTGGAATGCACATGGCACCATACACCCAAACAGTGGCGTGATTTTGACAAATGCCCTTGATGTAGTTGCCAAACTTTGCCAATGGCTTGTCGAGAATGTTTGCTGATGCCATTTGTACACATGGCAGGAATGGGTGGTGTGATCTCATACTGACAGCCTGAAGTAAAGCAGATTTCAACAAATCAATAGCCCTAAATAGCATACCTGGCCCGAGTGGCAATCATTTTTTCTTGATTTGGTTGGCTTCCTCAATGGAACTCTACTCTTTCCGTTTCCATCTGAGTCCAATCAGTAGTGATTGTATGAGCAAGAGAGAGGAGCATACAAACTAGATCATTGTCCAGATCTTGCACATCAAGCTTGTCTTCATCTGTCACTGTCTCCTGCCAATAATGATTGATCACACCCTTTCTCATGGGTATTCTGTGAGCACCAACTTGTGCTATCACCTCCTTGAGCTTGAGGCTTCTTAGAGAGACATGGCCATGATTGATCTGTGGATGTCTCCCATATAGGGAGGCAGGGAACAGCAGTAAGGTGTTGCCATTCATGTGCTCCATTATGGGGCTGCTGAGCATGTTCATTGTCAGATTTGATCAGGACAGAATCGTCCAGGGTGTCGAGATTGAACTCCTCATGCACAGGCATGATGTAAGCTGGATGGGGAGGGTGTGTTTAATGGAGGTCACACACAATCAACCCAAATTGTATGCACTGCACCAGTTCGATTTTCTGCACTCAGAGTGATGGGAATTGCCAGCCTGCACACTGCCCCCTGGTAAGATTCAAATAATAGTTAGCAAGACACATAGGCAGCCACTAACCTAAATCAAGTGCTCACTTGTTTGTTTTCTGTGGACTCTTTGCTGCATTATAGAACATCTGAGTGAAGGGTATGTGCTAATGTGGGACAGCATGAAGCATCTGCAACACCCACTCACCTCTTGGAGCTTTTAGAACATTCTAGGCAACGTGGAGGAGCCTACTTGGCAGTCTTTTTTCATTCAACAACTTGTTTGGTTTATTGTCCATCCATGCTTCTCAATGAATGAAGACAAACAAAATGACTAATTAGCTTTCATATCACAAAATGTTCATATAATGATACAAGCCATACTACATTAACAATCCCAAGAACCCAGACAATAATGTCAAATGCATGTCTTGTCCCTTCATACTCCTGCAGCCCTCAATATACAATCAGTTGCAACTAAACAACATCCTCAGCAGTGAGGAAACTGTCACTGTAGACCTGCCACCCAAGAACATCCACTAGAGGCCTCATCACACCTTCAAACACATTGGGCCAACTTGTAAATCATGATACAAACAAGTGTCCAGACTGATGGTTGCCACCAAGCTGGCTGCAGCAGACATGCATATTGTAGAGCAGTGCCAGTTCTGTGGATCCAAGTCAGCATGGGTAGGCCGTATTTCTGTTAGAATTGACCAACCACCAAAGAACTTGCCTTTCTTATACAGCTAGACTGTACATCTCTCCATCCTGCCACCTTCCCTGTTGCCATTGCCCACAATATCTTTGACTCAAGCTGCATTACCCATCTCCACAATATAGAATCGATCATCAATGTCGCTCCACCTGTTGATGAAGTTGCCTTTCTGGAAGACAAAAGTATCAAGGCAATTTGCAATCTTGCAGCATTCATACTGGCTTAGACTGTGGAAGATGGGTGCTGTGCTGAGGAACTGGCCGTACATCTGATGCTTCCTGAAAGCCATGTCCATGAGGATGATGTGGAATGTGATGCAGTCAAGTGCCCATAAGATACAGGGAGTGATGGAATGACAGTTGCAGCGCGAGTCACATTGTACATGAGTGTGAGTTCAACAAAAGCTCTGCAAGGCCTGACCTTCCACACAAGCTCTGCTGAGCCATTGCAAGAGTGAACCTCCCCAATTGTGTTAGGAGGGTATACTTCACCATTGCCCCATTCATCTCACTCATCAAAGCTTGAGACAACAACCTCCACAGTACCGCTCTCCACAGCATAGAAGAGGTTGCCAGCATTGCCCTGCTTGATGATCAATTCTCCTGCCTTTGTGTGCACCTTCTTGAAGGCACTGTAGACAGAGAACTCTTGCTCCAGATCATAGTCCTTGAACAACCATGCTTTCAAGATGCTGTCCTAGATATGTTTGAGCTCCTCTGGTGTCTTTTGGAGAACAAATAATTGGCTTCTGACCCTCTGGCAGGAGGCTGATCAATTCGGCAGAGACAGAGCCTTGACAGCCATGAATGAAGCCTGCATGACTGGGAGAAGGAGGCATGCCAGCAATGCAGGTAGGTAGACTGCTCAGACCTTGCTGGAACGTGCTGATGAAGGGGTAGGGCACATATACCGTTATTGTAGGGGTACATGGAATAACTGTGGTGAGAGATGAAGAGGTTGAAGTTGTGGGGAGAGACAATTGCAAAGAGGGAGCAGAACGGGCCAGGGTGTTAGGGCAACAGAGGCTGACTAAGTCTGCTCACCTAAGAGTGCCAAGAGTCTAAGCAGGCAACAAGGAAGTGGAGTAGACCTGATGACTAAGACCTATCTACAGTATAGGTACCTGTGGATGATCCTAAGAGACCAAGTCTGAAGAGACAGTGCCCAGGCAGAGTAGGCCTTATATTTATACCTCTGTGGTGGAACCTGCTAGAATATCTTGCTTACTCAGCCTAGTCAGGTGATCAGGTCATATGACCAAGGATGAGGTCATATGAGGTCATGCACAGCCATGCACAGCAGGTCACCTGACCATCCAATCCTTCCAGCAGGCTCCAGCACATGCCAAGGTATACCAGCTACTTCCATGTCATAAAGGCTTAGTCATGTCTCTTGACCAAGCAATGAGCTGGTGCCCTGACACAGGGAGAGCAAGGGAAGAGAACGAAGAACCAACATGGGGGGACTTGGAAGGTAGAAGGAGAACAGAGGAGACACCCCAGAGTTGTGGGGTTTGAGCTGGGTCTCAAGTCAGTGGTCTCCCTCGACTTGCATAAAATTGGGTCCCTTTCAAGTGCCAGCAATGTCAAATGTGGTCCCTATATATTGATATCCTGAGTATTGTAAAAACATATGAATACAAATATCTTACTTGAAGGTAATAAATCTTGTTCTCATTGGCTCTCTACCATTCTATATAGTGTCTATATAGCACTCTATTGCTCATTACCAGCATGCTTACCACACTACCAGCTTCTACCAGCAACCTACAGTGCTATGTAGTGCAGAAGTCAGCTATGTAAAGAGACCCTTGCACATCGTGGGTCTATGGAGACCTGGAAAAGGGCTACGGATGCAAAGTGCCCTACCGACCCTATATAGCACGATATAGACAGAGCCCATTT